ACGCCGTGCCGCCGAGTCCCCGTGGCTGTGGCCGTGGGCTTCTGGCAGGAAAACTACGGCCGCAACTCGGCAGCACGGGGGCGTCGCAGCGTGCCCCCGCCGCCGCCGCGCTGCCCCCCGGGCACGGCGGCGGCGGCAGCAAGCTTGGGCCCAAACGCCGTGCCGCCGAGTCCCGTGGCTGCGACCGTAGACCGTGGGCCGGAAACTGCGGCCGCAGCTCGGCGGCACGTGGTTCTGTTCAAATCGCCAAGCGTGCAGCAGCGCCGAACCACGCTTCCCGGCCTCGGCGCATGCCTTCAGGGGCCCCCTATCGCTGGGCACACCCCTCCAACACCGAACATGCGCCCGGGGGGGAGGGCGGCCCGGGCTGCCCAGGCCAAAGTGGGCCGCCCTCGAGCAAGAGGCGGCCGGTCTGTGTGCTGAATGAATGAATGTGTGTCTGCTGACAGCTCTGCGTTGCACTCAAAGTGTGCCACAGCTCTCCACCTCTCTCCCGTCTCCTGATTGCAAATGGCGGATACTCCTTCCGTGGCATACACCTGCGGCACGGCGGCATCCAGGCGGCAGGGCGGTGGCGGGCCGAGCTACGTGCATGTGTGGGCTCCCTACCCTCCCAGGCAGTGTGGCCTGCCAGCACCGCCACCCACAGCAGACCCTTAGGCCCTGCAAGCCCACCTGGTCTGTCAGGTTGCCGCCGCTGAAATAGCCAAGTGCGATGCAGCCGGAAGTGCAGACATTTGCCCAGGACTTGTATGAAAAAACGTAATCCTGGTACACGATGGTGTATCCCTCATTGGGCTGCAGGGCGCAACGGCCGGGGGGTGGGTGGGGTGGGGGGGCAGCAGTGTCATGGGGTGCAGGCAGGCAGGCCTGGGGGGCATGGGAGAGCGAGCACTGGCGGGTTGCTCGCCAGGCTGAGCGCCGCGGCACACCCCTGGGCGCTGTTGCGGTGCTAACTAGGCGTGGGCGGCTGCTCTTGCCAGACGGGAAGCTTGCTTCGCACCTCTGCTAAAGCGCCGCAGGGGGGCGGTGATGGCGGGCTTGGTGGCGATGGGGGCGGGCTCGGTGGTAGCGGGGGGCTGGGCGGGCTGGGTGGCGGGCTGGGTGGCGGTGCAGGCCCTTCAGGCCAAGGCCCTACACTTGGGGGTCCCACCCACGGCCGTGGAGGAATTGGCCAATCAGCTACACGATCTCCTAGCACAAGCTCTTGATACTGCCCGTCAGAGCTGTGCTACTCGCACCACCACTGACCGCCACTACCTTAGGAGGCAGGCCAGCAAAAAATTACGGCAATTAGACAAACTCACATGCTTGTACAAGGTGGGTCGGCGCCGACTACATGCGCAACCCGATATATGGCATTGCGC